AACATTCATGATAGAAGTCAGCAGACATAAAACCCCAAAGGTTTGTTCTACTACACCGCTTTTGCAAGTAAAGAACAAACAAACCACAGAGGTTGAGACCCGAATGTACTTCCTGTTTTTAGCCCCTCTCATGCAATGCACAAACTTCCTTTATTTGACAGAAAAAATTATACGTCTGATCCAAGCAGCCAAATTAAACTGCAAAAAAAAAAAAAACATAGCTGCTGGAATGACTGGTACCAACACCAAGTCAGCTTCAATAGAGTTCAACGTAATAGCTTTAAAAAACATGTTTGCAGCCTGGAACAGGAAAATAAATAATACGTTTGTTGCTCGATAATGATGGAAAGACAAATGTTGGAACCTTTCATAACTGTATTGTGGATGTTTTTTGTTTTTTTATATAACTTGTCCATTTGGATACTGTTGAGGCTTAAAATTAAGGGTATGGCTTTGATTTCCACATTGCCAGGTATACTGACAGCTACAGGAGCTGTCTACCAGGTCTCATCTGCAGGGGCGTATCCAGAACAGGGCATGGGGCCCAATACCAATGTAATTGGCATAGTGTACTGCCAGTCTTACAATGTCCAACATCTTTGCATGAGAGCATTGAGAGAGCCATAAGAAATGTAACTAAGTAGATTTACTGAAGTACTAAAGTACAAATTTAATATACTTGTATTTGAAGTATTTCTAACTTGGATACTCTCGTTTTTCTACTATATTTTGGACACTGTGCAGCACCACGTTTTAAGTAATAAACCTTTTTGTTCTTGATCCGCCTGTGCCACCCCATTTACAAAAAAATCCTGGACACGACCCTGCTCACCTAAGCTAACTAAAGTCACTGAACTGGATTTCTCAACTATGTTTGTGGTGTTTATGCCATTTTTTTAAAAAAAAATGAAATTATCAAATAATTATTACTGCCTGCTATGGCAGAGACCATACTAGACCTGTGTGGCTCAGTTTTAGTGACTTTTTAATCTGCTAATCAGCACTAATTAGCGAGCATGTGTATTTGTGCATTGCATCCTTCCAGTATATGGATGCAGGTAGCTAACGAAGTTTCATAATGTTTGATAATAATTCCAGTCTGTCATCTAAATCACTTCTGGGACTTAAAAAAATACAACGAAAGCTAAAATGCTAAAGTTGTAATTATATTAGCTCATCAGCTCAATCATATTAGCTTTGCTGTACTGAAACACCCCATATAAGCTATATAACTACGCTCATGGGTATACACAGTATTCAACAGAATAGAAGCGTGCAGGGTGGAGTCAGAAAAGTGCCTTTGGAATCTGTAAAAGTAAAGGATATAAACTGTGAAAAGAGAAATGGCAGCAAAGACCTGAACTCCTGGTGCCCTGGCATTTCTCTTTATGATGGATGAGCTCAGGGATCCTTGAATAGGGAAATGTGGGGGTTTGGTTTCTGCAATATCCAACAATACATTGTTGTAAAAGCAAAATTATGTCTTTCACATTCCAGCCTTCCTGGAAAAGCCCTCTGATTGCAACAGATTTGCTATTAAAACAAAGGAGGCCAGGGCACTGCAAGAACACCATCTGAACCTTGGAGATGTCAAAAAAATGAGCCGAGGTATTACACAAGGGGGAAAAAAGAAAGAAAGAAAATGGCACAACAATTGCAAATTTCTGTTTACTTTGTTTGTGCATGTGTTCCTTATCTACACTAATTAATGTGTAAAGTAAGCAAAACCAGTAAAACTGATCTCAGCATGTATTATTTACATCAAATCTACAGTTTAATCTAAAACTCACAGCCATCATTCAATAATTACTCATCAGTCAGTGTCAGGAGAAATAACATTCCTCAGATTTTACTGATACCTCCAAATTATATAATACATAATATGATAATAATAATGCTAATATAGCTTTCCCTTATTGAAAGATCTGGTAATGAGTTAAAGGAAACTGAATGAAAGACAATGCACCACCATACTATATATTAAACATCCTCGGGTCATTTTTGAATGTAGAATAGTGCCATGAGTCAAACCTACATTATCACATTGTGAGTGTAAGCTTCCACTAACCAGTCAAACTGCAGAATACATCCCAGTGTGCCCAGATTCATAAAGTAATACAGTATGTAGTGTAGGTTCAACAATTTCTTTTAGGGCAATAAAGGTTAATAGGCAATTTTGTGTCTGACCAAATGTGAAATTTTCTGCTCCCGAGTTGGTATATGCAAAAAAGTGTCATAAAGCATTATGTTATAGTGAAGCTGACCTTTGACTTGAGACATAAAATGCCATCAATCAGATATTTCTGCAAACTATGTAATAATGAATGTAAAAAATTATTCCTTTATGGCCAAAGAAAACCCAAACAAATAACTTTTTATGAGGTTGCACTGCCTTAAATTTTAAAATTGTGCTATTAATAATGACTCGAGCACACATACACGTACATATTATGTTGTTTATATTGTATCAGTTAACAGAAACGCTTTTAAAATGGTTTATATTTTTTGGGAATAGTTAGATTGCTTTCCTTGCACTGAATAGCAGAGCATATGATTTTTCTGTGTTTTTGGCATAACGACAGTAAAAGATTCTGATTATGATGAAATTCCCTCGTGGTGCTCCTGAAAAATTGTGTTTGCAAGAATGGGAAGAATATCAGGCCTCAGTGACCTTTGATGACCAAATTCTGTTCACTTTATTTTTCAATTTTTCTGAGCACTTTTGACTTTGACAATCATGATACCGGGACAGACACACACACAAATAAAAAACTCAAAAACATTAAATGTCTCTGTCGCCGACTGACAAACTTTAGTGTAAAACCTCAAAAAAAAGGTAAATAATCCAGCTGTTTTATTGTGTTGTGACATTTGGCACCCCAGTGCATTACCTCATCAGAGAATATTTGTTTTTACCCAGCCAAGCCATCTGCTTACTGTGTTGGACCTGACGTGACTTTGTTGTGTTGATTAGAAGCTACTGTTAGCTACGTCATATGTGTTGGTGAGTGTGCGCTTGGTATTCAGTAAAGTAACACCTGGGCTTCGGTGTCAGATCTCTGTCATGTTGGAATCATGCAAGCGAGTGTCTGCACTTCCTCTTAGCAATCCCACAGCCAAGTTTCTGTTGGAAAACCTTCAGACGTCTAATCACTGAGTCATAACTTTGCAGACGAACAGTGACAACAATGCTGAAGATGATGACAAATGCATATTTAAACATTCCCACCACAAATGATAAAAGGAAAACTACTAGAAACTGTTTATACAAAATACAGACAGGTGGGAATGACTACTTTAACAAGTCTTACAAGCTAAATAATCTGGTTAATTCATTGATGTATTGCACGCTGAATTTGATCACAGCCCAATGTCCTGTATTTGCCAATAAAACAAAAAAGCTTTTTCATATAAAAGAATAAGCAAAATCTTGCAGTAAATGTATTCTAAATGCTGGCTGTCTGAGGGCCTTGATACAGCGGAAGCTGAAGTACATACAACAAAGAGCCAAAAGAATATCCACCAAAGCCTCAGTTTGGAATCGTTGCGCCAGTCAAAGCAATATCTGGAAACACTTTTTATCCTGCAACAACAAAAACATGCAGCATCCCAGATTTCAGGCCCGGCATAGCTGCATCAAACCACATTGCCCACTATGGTCAGGCCTTAGAAAAGAGGCTTATGCAGAAATCCAGTTCGGGCTAAACGCATAAGCCCAGAGGCTACATAGCATGAGAGCACCGCTAACAAACTGAGCTCAACCTTGGTCAGACAGCAGGTCTTGTGAGGTCATACCCAAATACCACAGATAACACTAGCTCTTCACCCTGATTGTCTTCTAGCATGAAAGCAGTTTTGTGGTTGTAGGTGGAAGAAGGAGGGGGTTTCTCAGAAGAGGGATGTTCAAAAATGTTCTGTTTCGGCCTTGGGTAAATGTTATGATAATTTCATTTGCGTGAGTAATTGTGTCTGCTCTTGCAGACTGTTCTGGTCCTGAGTTGCAGAGCAGCAGAGAGGATGAGGGCGGGACGTATGTTGTTTATTGGATCGATTTCAAAGGAGCGCTTAAAAAATACGATTTGTCCTTCACGCCCGGCATGTTTAGGGTTGGGGAGGAAGGCAAAAACAAACAAATACTGCACACTGATCTACAGCTTTCTCCAACACATGGCAATATTTCAGTATTATGAAATATATTATCTTTAAAACAGATGCAACTGTTCAGAAGATAATAGTCCCAAAAAAAGGCTCACAATCAAAGTGCGTAACAGTGATTGTTACTGAAACACGTTCCAGCGAGCGCGCAAACGTTTTCTGCTCTGACACAGTTTTGTGTTATCCATTACTATAGCATTCCATAGCAAAGACAACACGCTGGAGGCGTGAGAATTAGAAATGCAACAAGTGATCCCTCTTGTGAAATCCAGCGTGCCTGCTCATACATGTCTGTGTGGGATACTGAGCTTTGATTACACAGAATAGCTACAGGCCTCCACTCAGGCAGAAGAGTCTTTGGAGTGGGCTCAACTCTGCGGCATTAGACAAGACAACAACAGACAGGAAATCAGGAAATCAGCAGAATAGAGGGACAATAAGACAGAGATTAGGGCTGACCGGTTTCTCACTTACTAGGACTTCCTCTTTTTTTTCCCAGATAAGCACACAATCTATAACAGTCTCACACACTCTTATTAAAACACAATCAGTTGTACATGACCAACCTCTTCAAACTTCAAACTATACGTCGCCCCTTTCCTTTCTCTCAGTCACACCATTCAGCTTTAAGAATAAGTCGTGCACGGCAGTTTCTGCCTTTCTCAATGTCATGGGAATTAAACCGGGAGCTCGTGCTTTGTGCCGACTCACCCGCAGGTGATGGGTGCAGCCAATCAACCAGCAGGACTTACTGTAACACCTACGACTAAAAGGCCAACTCACTCCGCAAACAGGGTGATATAATCTCCTGACTGGAGGTGGGATGACTTGTCAACTAAGAAATACCTGGATCTCTTAACAGTCTTATACTATGACCTCACCTGGCTTATCACTTAGGGGACGATAACTTTCATCAGCCAGACACAAAAAGATCTCTCTGCAAGGATTATCTAAAACACTCATTGAAGCAGAGAACGGTAAGAAATGGTATATAAATACTTTCTTTAGATTTTCTTCTACGATGAGGAAAAGACTGTTGTAGCTCATAATGTTTCTGTGTCTCAAGGTGGTTCAATGAGATCTTCTCTGAAACAGCTGACAAGCCCCGTCATGTCAAAGGAAGGTTTGTGAGAGTGTGCAGGTACACACAGCCTAGCTTCCTGGCAGAGACGGGTGTGCGTGTGTGTGGGATTGAATTATCCTTGATTTTCCCCAGCAAGACAGGTAAAAACTAACATCTTTTCTTTTTTTGTCTAATTATTGTTATAGCTCTCACTAAGTAACTGCACGGCAGGAAAAAAATCTTAACATCAGTTATTTTAATTGTGGTTAAAGTTTTCAGCAGACTGAGTCCTTATCAGTCTCCGAGATGTGTAATTAATGGAGCGTTCGGAACCATAATTTAAAATGTGTTTCTTGGCCAATGTGTTTTAATGAGATTCTTTAGTTTTTAACTTGGCCACGAGGTGTTTCCTGAACACGATACTCATGGCTAAAATCCCAACGACTCCTCCTTGGCCAAACTGACATGTCTGGAAAGGAATGCAGTCGAGTCCGCGCGCTCCAATCTCCCGCTGCTACTAAAGTGCCGATAAAACCTTTACAGGCCAACAAAACCTGTTTGCCGAAGTGGTTTACAAATTTACAGAGTGAGTGTTTCAAGTCACGAACACAGATCTAACTGTGGGCAAAGCTGTTGGGAGGCTTAAAAATCACAGACACAGAGGAGATTATCTAATCGGCGTGCCTGCGTTGATGAACTGAGTTCTGTCTCGCTCACTAAAATCCTTACTGGTCACGAATTGTTTTGTTTTTTCGATTCATTGTGACCAAGATGTTTTAGGTTTTGTTGGTGGAAATGAAATTTCAAGATTATATTATCCTCCAAAAGACATTAAAAACAGATTTATCCTCTAAGATAATGCCTAGAGTGCGATGCTGTTTACAGAATAGCTGCATTTGATTTTTATCTTAAATAACTTTCAAATCCAGACTCGGGACATACCTCTCACACCACAGCAAAATAAACTAATTGTATCCCAGTTATTTAGACTTCTGAGGAAATTATAAACATGTGCTCTAAAGTGAAGTTATTATCATAATTTCTGACAGAAGTTGAAATAACAACCTCCCAAAAGAAAAAGTGAAGACAATGCACCGCATACAGGATAACAATTACCGCTCTGGCATTTTTTCTTATTTATTTTTTTTGTTGACTCTCTTACTGGAAGTCTTAAATGGACTAGAAGACTTCCTCTGGAAGACGTGCAGCAGACCACACCTGCATTTATCGGAAAAGAGGGGATTTGAAAAGTAAATATTTGTAAATGAAAGGTTCAAAGCATTGTTTGAACATCCCTGCGCTGCCAAATAATTGCTACATTTCATTAAATGAAAATCAAGGCTAGCAGGTGCAATCGCTACACAATGGATGTGAATTTTAAAAAGCTGACAGACACAGTCAAATCCTTACATCTGGTTTTGAAAAACACGACAAACACAGGCACAGATCTCCTTCATATTCTAGCATGAATAAGAGAGAACCTGGATGACATGCTGCTGCGAGAAATGTGGTATCAAACTGTTATTTGTTAAAATGTTAATACTCTCTTTTTGTGTTTCGTTGCAGATGGAGTTATGCTTTTAATTATCAAAACTTCCTAACAAATTGAACAAAGAAGAAAGAGACTACAAAGACTTTTGAGGATACATTAAAAAGAAAAAAGAATAAACTGAAACATTTAAGCAAATCTCAACCAGATCTGCTAGGATGCCACTCCGAGCATCGCTGCACAGAAATCCAGCCTCTGGACGCTGGTCCAGCAGGAATTCCAAGAGGAAGGAGGTTCTGTCTGTCAACATGATCAGCCTACCGCTCGCCGATTTCCGCCACATCACTCATATTGGAAACAATGCCGACAGCTTTGGAGATCTGTCTTTTCTAAAGCTGAGTCACAACCTGCTTTTACAAAGTTCCCGAAGTGAGCAGAACGTCTTTCTGGCCTGCTCACCGCCTCCAAAGCCGCCTCGTCTGAATCTGGACGAGACTGAGAGCAAAAAGACCCCTGACTTGTCTGTGGACCACCAGCACAATAACTCCCAGAAAAGGAAGAAATGCAGTTCTCTGCCCCTGCTGGACAGCGAGACAGGAAATGTAGATGCTGAAAAAGAGGATGGGTACCAAAGAGGGAATAATACTTCTTCCAATCAGACTCATAGCTCCAGATGGGGCAGCACAGGTTCAGATGGGGATGAAGACTTTAACGAGACCTGTGACAAAACTACGGGACAACAAAAGGATGAGGACAGTGGCTTTTCATTCAGCCTCGACCTGGGTCCTTCGATCCTTGACGATGTCCTTCAGGTGATGGAAAAACTGCACAAATAAACCAGAGATTAGCCAAATGTCTCGGAGAGGCTTTACTAAAGGTTTGGAATATAGAGAGCAATAAGGGCCTGATCTTGTCCAGAATCTTGATTGGAGACGAAATAATCACATTTGGATATTGTTTTGTTCATTATGTTTGGATAAATCTAAAGATATCTGATTTTTTGGAATGCAGAATCCCAAACAATGAATAATAAACCACAGATGAACACTGTACACTTTTTTAAAGGCACAGGATATGCTCCTAGAGCACTGTGGTCCACAGCGTTTACTAAAACGTATGCGTGATTCTGTTTGAAAAGGGGGCACATAAACAAAGTTAATGTTCTCCAAGCAATCACCCTTTGCAGAGGCAGATCCAGTGTTTAAGTTAATAATTAAACTTTGTCTCATGTTAAACTAAGAGCTTGACATTTTCAACCTTTTCACATTTCCCCTTAGCTATTTTAATTCTTCAAACCACACATCACGGCACTGACGACGGCTGTTAAGACTTAAGATTGTTGTGTTTAAGAAAAGAAACGCAACGACTGGAATCCAAGGTCCTTGGAGCTGCGATGCCTTGGCGTGCTTGCCAATCTGTTGTGTGCAGAGGGCAAATTTTACTCCGCACGCATCTGAGAGGCCCCACTCAATGGTAGACCAAGGTACCCCCCATCTCTCATTCCCAACAAGGCAGTGAAAACAAACACTTAGCCCTGCTTCCAATAAAAGCCAGCCAGTGGTGGCAGTTTGGGCTACCGACCAAGCCAGGCCACAGGTCCAAGACCTCAGAAGAAAAATGGGGAAAAAAAGCCAAAGCAGGCTGTTTTCTTAGCTGCAAATCAGCGTTTAATGCTCTGGTGAGCAGTGCACGAGAAGAAAAGTGGTAAAGGGTAACTTGATACTTCCACATATGCAGGGGGTGTTGAGAGAGAAGGAGGACCAGAAACATCATTACTGTAGCAAAAGTTCTGATGAGGGTTTAAACACTACCTTCTACCCAAATACACCCAACACGCAAAAATGCATGCTGTATCTCACACACTGGCACACGAGCAAAGGGAAGCACGCGTGAAACACTCGTCCATACGTTTTTTCCTCAAACCTACAGAGGAGAGGTCGAGATGAGCCTTACTCCGTCTTTGTTGGGGAGTTACCGGGATGGGATGTGGCACAAAACCCAAAAGAAGTCAAATTCCTAAGAGCGCCACGGGTCATGGTACAAAATCTAGAAACCAAAATAAGTTCTTCAAGCAATAAATTTTGAATTCTGTGCAAGTCCAAAACAGAAACAGCACTGTTTGTGGGAACATTTATATATCCGTTTCTTGTAGACTTCTGCCAATAACACATTGTGAATGTTTTTTTCCTTCTGAAGAAAAAATTGTTTATGTATTTTTTGTGCAAAGCAAATAAAAACATCAAATACTCGTATGAGATTGCTTTTTTCTTTATTTTACACGTTGTTTTATGTGTTTGTATCATTTTTTCTAGAGAAACTACAGCTTATATAGGACTCCGCAACACAATAATATTATGTAGAGGTGGCCAAAATTTGACACGCACGGCAGAATTTCATGCACAGTAGAGGCATGAATGCTGCACTAGAGTAAAGTGGACTTTGAAGCACAGCTAAAGCACAAAGAGGTGGCTATCAATAGCTAACCAGAGTCTGTTAGTAAACTTCAGGATAAGCAGGAGAATGAGTTATTCACTGACAGAGATTTACACTGTGTTGACTGTGTTGCCCTGCTCGATGCAATAACTCCCTAAGCAATCAAAACCTTATCTATTCACAAGAAAGAAGAATTGTGCAATATCAGAAAGCCGCTGCATTTTATGGAAAACCGCTCCTCATTAAAACATTCAGAAATAATACTTGGCATCTTATTTTTCCTGCATGCACGTGTCCTTGCTTTTCTATGAGTCTGTCATCTGTGTGAAAGTCCTGTGAAGGACACGACTTGAGCAAATGTTCAGCCACATGGCTACTGCGAGATGAAAGAGTCTGTGATGGAAGACAAATTATCTTGTCTGCTCTGCAAAAAACTGGCCAAACTGTGAAGTATCCCAATCACATCTGGCATCACTTCCCTCCGTTTAAAAATCTAAACTTGCTGTCATGCAGAATACAAAAAAAATCTTGTCATTCCTCTAAAGCAGCTCGTACGAGCTGTGTTTTTTGTCGGCTACCAACTTAAACATTAAAAATACTGTATTGGCAAATAGGACAAGAGTCCTGCGCCTGTAATTGTGCTTCCCAGTGAAATCGAATGTGACATGTCTTTGTTTTGGTCTGGTTTGTTTTTTTGTATTTACACATGAAAGGGGATTTCATAAAACCAACTGTTTTTTTGTTTATGCTGTCGGTATTGTGTATCAAGACAGAAAATATTATCAAGCTGCAAAGAGGATCAAGCAAATTGAAAACAGCTCTTCCCTCTCATGATATGCATGATGAGCTTTATGCATTTAGGCATAGATTGCTATGTATTCTATACCAGCACATCTTTTTTTAAAACATCTCCCATCCTCCGTTTCGTGAGTGGCCAATCATCCTTCAGTCTCATGTATTTTCACTGCTCGTTTCCTTTTACTTTATTACTACTAACAAAAATGTGAAATAGAACAAAACCAAAAAAATAAAATAAAATAAATATTCAGATTTTAAGTCTGGTCATTGCAATAAACAGAAAGCTGTCAGTCTCCTTCCTAAACAGCTATCATCTCCATTAATAGCAGGTTTCAGGCCAGCACTGAATATGCCAACAGCAAGGCCACATCCAATGCATCTCTTCCAGACACAAGGACTATTTTAGGTGATAACGCACTTTTAAAGCACTAGCAAACCAGCAGGCTGGAAAAACAATCCCAGAATAGCTGATCTACTGCATCTGGTTTATGCCGTGACAACCCTGCAATGATTTCCTGGCTCTTGATGGAAGAAGCAGGCATAGAAGGCTCAAATTTAAAACCCTTACAATAGAATCGTTTTAAATAATACGGTATGCTAAACTGAGCAGTAAACCATGAATCAAGACACAATGATTAATGATGGCATCATATCTCTGGAGGCATGAACGTCAGGTCTGGCAAAAACAAAGCAGACAGATAGATGGGGATTCCACATCCGAGAGTTTGTATGTTAAGATAAACTATCCATGTGAAATCCCTTTTTCTGATGCAGCTATTTGCCGCTCTCGGATATGACTGCACTGAAATGTTTAGAAATGGATAATAGGTTCTTTTAGCATTCACTGAGATTTGGAACCATGTACTAAAAGAAACATTTGGACTTCTGGGAAAATTTAAAGGTTAGTTTTCTCGACCTCTCCATTTTTCAGCCTGTCACTACGACGTATTTGTCATATCAGTAATGTTAACGGGTACACACGCAAAAGTGAACGATCAGGAAAAGAAACTGGATTCTTTTCCCAAATGAAGGGTCTGAATTTAGTCAAGAGCGTGGGGAGCAATTCCACATGGTGCGAAAGACACGGCCCTCTCCTATTTTGGAATTAATATCCATGGTGAGAAAAACTGGGTGAATGCAGTAGGTCCAGTTATAAATCATGTCATATCTACAACAAAAACAGAGCCAAAAGATCAACACTCCTCTCTGTGAGAGAAGTTAAAAATTGAACACACCATGAGATAGATCAAAGTCTCTGTACCCTGAGAGGGTCTTCTTGGGGAATTTGCCCCTCCCTTTACTCCATTAGGCTCCTCATACTGGCCTCAAATTCATTTATTAAGCCCAGCAGAGATGGAACTAAAGTTAAGGGTGAAGTCATCCGTGTATCTGAGCTCCCTGTGGCGAGACGCTGACTCTGTGAGCTGTGTTTAGATTGATGAGGTTAAAGAATCAAGTCCTCACTTTGCTCATATGTGATTGCAGCTGGATAATGTTGGGACACTATGAACGGGTCGGCTACAGGAGAGGGATCAGATTTGTAGATCCCAGATAAGAATCAGAAAAGAACATTCACATCCACTGACCCGTGGATAGGTGTGGATCAACACCGCTAATATCTGCCATGGTTTATCTATTATGTCATGTGGGACCTCTTTAGCAAGAAGTATTCTCAGTGAAGGCTAATTTGAAAATAATTCTAGCATAGTAATGTTTCCAGTCAGAGTTGGAGAACAAAAAAGGCTAAAGCAATCATCTTTGAATATCTGCAATGCAAACCGGTTTACCATAATAACATTTAAAGAGATTAGTGTGACAAGTCCCAGTGTGCAGACTCAGTCACAGATACTAGCGCTGTGTAGGGGGTCGTAGACCCCACACTAGCATGAGAGGTGAAACCCAGTTCAGCAGTTTTATGTAGCAAACTGTGGTCCATAGGTGGTTAATTCTTCAAATTAAAAAGAAAAAGTTATATTAAGATGATCAGAAGGTTTTTGACTTAATGAAAAAGGCGAAAATCTAAAAGTAATTAATAAGAAGAAAATAAATGTAATCACTTGGCACCAAAATATCCATTTTTACTTTCTCACGTGCCAGACTACCATTATTGTATGCTGCTACACGAAATGCAGCAATCCTGGGGTCTGCCAGGTCATTTCCGTTAATGAGCAGCCAACGAGGGGCTCTGGGCCAGTGCCGGGCCAGCACCTCACCACTCCAAAACAAATAAACCGAGGACCATTTAACCAAACACATTGTTCTAGGTCAGACGAATGGGAGTGCAAGCACCGGGGAAATATCTGCACCGCTGATACGAAAATAAAAGCTCCGAACGTTTACATACCTCTCTTTGTGGGGCAGTGTTTAGGCAAGAGTATTTGTGCTGGAAGCAATGTAACCGGGAGGATTTTGTAACATGGGGCTGACACGCTTTATGAGAGAGGAGGGGAATTACAACAGCGCATTTTAATGTTATACCGGTACCTGTGAAGGCATGAACTGCCCAGACTGAGAAGCTGCGGCAAAAACCTCAGGCTGTCCTTCAAGCCAGGAAATCTTCAGGGGATTTGCAGCTACGCCACTTTCATTCTTAACAGCCAGCTCCTAAAAAAACAAAAAATAAAATGTGAGAGTGGGTATTCAAATGAGTCATCTACCAGTATTTTAAGGCGAAAAAACTTTCTCCTTGTACAGAGTGTTGTAAAGTTGTAATATATTCATCTAACACCTAGGTATTTGTTCAGTTCACATAACACCTAAATAAAGGTGGGCCAACACCGGAGCTGGGGCATGAAGATGGGCAGGGTGAGACAACAGAACCTGTACCTAGATCCCAGTAGACTGGCAGGCATATTTTCTGCAGGCGAAACACATGTTGCGGTAAGGAAACCACAACAATAAAAAAAGTACATCATGATGACAAAGAGCCTGAGGAACCAGACAGTGGGGAACAATAAGACGGCTCAGTTCCGTCCGTCCAATGGTTCCCATCAGCATCGGGACTTCTGCGGTACAGAATGACTAAAATATCAGTTTCACTCACACAGACCGTCCCCAGGCACGGAAGTCTATGACAGCTATCACTCTGAGTAATAATCAAACTCATCGGGTGACCTGGAATTTTGAGGCAAATGAATGTTGAAGAAAACGGTTTCTGAGGTTTTTATTCAGGAGTTAAAGTACTTACAGCAGCTCTCACAGTTGCAAATTCTGCGACAGCACTTCCTTTCTTCTTACTCGACATGATCACATTCAAAACATCGCCATACTAGAAGTAAAAAAAAAAAAGGGGGGGGACAAAGTCATATTGAGGTAGAGGAATGATTGTGAACATTCAAATTAATATTCCTTTTCACAGCACAATCCATAACCAGAAAAACAAAAACCACACACAGGCACAAAACTTCAAAACACTGGTGAATATAAAAGACTTCCTGAGAAGTTAGCATTCAATGTGTGTTTGTTATTAGACCTCGTGATATTGTTCGTATGTTTGAGCCTGAGCCAGTTATTCTTTGAACAGTAACAACATCTACTGTCAGCATTAAAGCTGACAGTAGATGTGTTTCATATCCAACTGCACTGATTTATGATGTTGAGCTCATTTGATCCCAAAAGAGTGGAAAAGTTGGCCTAAAAGTGCAGCAAAGCAAAGACCAACCTCTTTAAGAAAGACATGGTGAGAAAAGAAGGGGGAGACTATAAACACAATGGAGGAGCACAAAGAGCTTTTTAAATTCCTCGTGGTTAGCTCAGGTGGATCAAGTAAAAAAAACTCAATGCCATTTACTTCTTCCTAACTAAAGTGGGGCTTGGGAACAGTGAGTACAAGGAAAGAGGCCTTTAAGAATCTCATTCTGAAAAAATGTAGCTTTCTGGGAACGGGAAAGTCCAAGAATGCTAATGCTTACTAAGGACACTCTGAAGCAAGCCAACAGTGACAAAGGAGACTCTCTAAAGGCCTCTGCTTCATGAAATATAAATATCGTAACATATTTTTGAAACAAAGATGTAT